TACTTGTGGGTAGCGGTGGAGGCAACTTTACTTGCAGCATTAACTACTGAGATTCATTGAGAGTGGCATTTGGAAGTCTCTAAACACAGCCCAGCAGCAGATCACAGGCCGGAATGGCCAACCATGAAGAATCAGTCAAATCATTGAACGCTAACTGGTCAGCTGAGATTGATGTTTTGCCATTGCGTATGTAGATAGCACACCCACCACCGCGTTTGTGCAGACGACCCTTACGAAACAGTGGAGAACCCAAAACATCCAGTTTATATCACATATAGCTGGTGTGCACCATGTTTCGGGGATACAAACAATGTGAGGAGTTTTAAGGACAATAAACCTTGCAAGGATATCCAGTTTTGTTGACCATCATCATTCCTCATTATACACGTTAGCTGCAGGTGTAAAACGCCTCAGCTATTGTGCCGCAATACAAAGGATAACAACAAAATACAGTGGCACGCCGGCTGAGTCCCTAGTAACGGGTGGCTTGTTCTTCACGAATCTGGCTTTCACGAGTGCCAGTCTGCGGAGAATGACAGACGCAAGCAATTTAGAGGCAATCGAAATCAGACTGATCCCTTTATGATTACCGCATTCCGAACGGGTGCCTCCCTTGGAAATTGGGACAATGACGGAGCGCTCCAGTCTGTCGGCACTGTGCCCTGCTCCCAAAGTTTCACTAGCAGCTCGTATAAATCATCTATTAGAGCAGGTCCCCCGAATTTGTAGAGGGCTGGGAGAATTCTATCTGCCTCTGCGGCCTTATGCAATTTCAACAGCTTGATCTCACGTTCGACTTCTGCGCGTGAGGGCGGATCCAAGGAGACGGCCGCAGGAGAAGTGCGCTCAGTGCCCGAAAAAGAAACTGATAACAGGTTGTTTAAATTGCCTTCTGAAGTGTTCGGCCCAACGCTCCAAGCGTTTTGACAGGCTGTGGATCGGCTGCCCACTCTCGTCGCCTATGGTCTCGCTAACACCAGGTCTCCTTCTGCCTGTTTCCCGTATCAGACGGAATAACTTACGATGATTACCAACCGTAGCGGCTATTTCTATCTCAGAGGCACGATGAGACCACCAGGTTTCGCGGTCTTTCTTCAGGCTAGCACGCAGTTTTGCCCTGAGATTTTTGCTAGCCTTCTTTTATTCGCTTCCAACAGGAATACGTCGGTGATCATCCATAAGTTCCAGAGACTGTGTAGAGACCCAATGTCCAGTTTGGCAATTTGATTTGTCACATGAAGCGATGCCTGCTAACAGTAACGTTTGACGAATATGCGACCAGTGATCTTCGTCGGTGTTCAATGGACGCTTCCTCAGCCCGGATGTCAGCGCACTTTGATACAGATTCAGAACATCTGTCTTCGCCAGTTAGCTGGTGTCAATCCGTTCACATTGACGTTGCGGACGTCCACCGAAACGCACCCGGAGGTCGGTGCAGACAAGTGCCTGGTCGGAGTCCACGCTCGTTTTCCAAATCGAGCGACAGTTTTGGACACAGCCGCTCCAGCGGTGTCTGATCGCGATATGATCGATTTGCGTCCATGGCTAGCCCGAGGCTGGTGACCGACAAGTCATGTTTCTGCAGGTGCTGTGTCGAAACTTTATGCTCGCGAGAAAGGGACGAGCATCTTCATACAGCTGTAGCAATCGCTCACCGTTATCATGACGGGAGCCTATACCATGTTGGCCGCCTAGATGAAGCTCATCAGAGGACAATTTTCCGTATTGGGCCTTTAGATCGTCAGCCAACACCACAGTATCCGTGCTCCTTCTGTAACGAAGGAGCTCGTGAAGTTTCTGATAGAAATCATCTTCTACCGAATCAGTGCTACACTTTGTAGGAGCAAAGGCCGCAATGACAAACAGGTACCGTTTGTCCCCGCGAGACTTCGTAACACGGAACGAACCAGCTAATCTAACGGCGCACATCCGACTGTTGACTGGGGTCCAATCGATCAGGGCAGCTTCAGCCCGGGGAGCTCAAAATAATACCAACGCCAGCCTGACTGGCATTTAAAGCTGCATCAACGCCGGACAGATGCAGTGAGAATGTGCCACCAGTGTCGCATGTGGGGGATCGCACGGTAAGCACGGAGCTCGAATCTTGCAGGCGGGTTTCTTATAAACAGCAAATATCCATCGATAGGGTCTCTAGTGTGCGGGCAAGTGCTGCCTGTTGACCAATCCGTAGCAAAGTGCGCACGTTGAGGCATGCTAGTCTTAGGGCGATTCGAGGACTCCGAATGAAACGGATGAACTGACGTTGTTCGCTTGGTTGAACGTGAACTTGTCGATTGGATTGGAGTGACGCCCTGCGACTGTGTGTGATTTGAAACTAGAAGACAAGCGACTATTAAAGCAAAATGGGGGAGGGCCAAAAATTAGGGGGATTGAAATGGGGGGATAAATGTAAAGTTGGAGCGGGACGATAAGGATGAAAAATCGCAAGAAGTGGGATAAGAAGATGGGAAGGCCTGAGCAGGAGCATTCGTACCTCTATCCACCCCGCTCGATGCAGCAGATAGGGCGCCGTTGATTATTCTCTTCAACGGCCAGAGCATCAAGAAATTGTTATAGGAAAGGTTCATTGCATTGCGTGGGCAGAATACTGTCAGTTTGCCCAGGCCTTGACAGGAGAACGGTTAGGGTTCTCAACTAAAACTGGTTCAAAAACCTTACCGCAGGGCAGCGGGGTTTTGGCACTGGACTACAGAGAGCCTGTTTTATGGTGTAAGGAGCCACCCTTATTCCAATCCCCAACCTGGAGAACCAGGAGGCTGAGTTTGTCTGGCCTCTAACGATTGACCAATCTGGTATGAGTGGCTCTGAAAGTGCAAAAAACACCACCCAGCATAGCTCAATGGATCTCTGAGGCACCCAAACCATTGCGCCACGGTAAGATCCAGCCTGATTGTGATGTCTGGTGATAGCGAACAAATATTTATGATAGCGGATTTAAGTAAAAGGAATGAGGTAGGATACACACATTTGGTTATATAACGCCCTCTGTCTTCATGGACGTGGGTGGCGCGCCATGGTGAAAAAACTGGGCTCCGTCGTGCGTTACGATGTCCTGACTCCATCATTGGGTTTTGTCTGGTCGGATGTGGAGGTCCTATTGCTAGGGGCGCATGTCAGCCTAAAAAAGCGTCACTTGGCAAGTGGTGAGAATATCCCGTAGGAGAAAGTGGCGGTGGAGGGTAGGCTAGAAGCTGCGGCTGAATTTGGGAAGTAGTGGAGGTGTAAGGGTCTGTCATGAGTTACTGTGTTATTCCAGTTGGAATGTTGCCATCTCCGGTTCGGAGAAATAGGTAGCAAAATTTTTGTGATGGTTGCTAGTGGGTCCAGTGGGTATTATTGACCCCAGAATCGGTTCCAACGTCATATATTGAGGTGCGATAGCGTACAGTTTTCCTCATTTGATTTAATGAGCCGTTTTTATAATATGATGAAGGTTGTTTAGATCTTATCCGTTGTTGGGTATTTCTATTGAATGTTATAATGATACGGCGCTCTGCGATGTCATTTATGCTTAGTTTGAACGTGGGTTAGTTGTTGTGATATTCAGTTAGGGGTAAATTTTAAATATTATTAGTTTCATACTTTGCATTTTTATTCTAATTTAGTACCACGTAATATACGTGGTCGTGGTCGTTACTTGCAGATAGAGCACATGGTATGGCACTAACTTCTGTGAAATTTTTAATAGTGCGTACATCCTGCCCGTGCCCAATCTTTTCTGGTCAGACCGGGTCAGCATTATCATGGGATAACACCTCGTGGGTGGGTTAGTGGACTGGGTTCTTGTGAGTACCTTTAGGTAGGGGCGGTGTTGGTAATCACTCATGGTCCACATCGTTGTCAGTATGATTGGCGTTGGTGCGAGAAATAAGAATGTCTTCATGATTCGTCTTACATGAAAACCCCCTTTGTCATAGCCTTTGGTCACTTCTGATCAAAGTGTTTTAAAGTCACTTCGTGTTGCAATGAGCCGTTAGCTATATATAAATTTGAGGAGAATTAGGCATGACCTCATTGTCGCTTTCTTCTGGAAACTGTGGCATAGACAGTTAGAATAACTCATATTGGATGCGGCGAGCAAAATATTTTTGACTTTTCTATACTCCATCAGTCAGGTGCGTTAAACACAAGCACATTTTTTGCTCTGCATAAACGTTCCTGAGTCTCGGTTGTGGTTAAGATTAGCATAGAACCAACTTTGTGTAGTGTGTAAGTTCCCATCCATTGAACCTTTAAATAAATCGCGGAAAGCCAGCACTTGATCGTATTTTGCGCAGCTGTTCGGTTTTTAGTGATGTAATCTCTTCCCTAATAGCAATTATGCGGTTTTTCATCTCAGGTAATAAATCAACTCTATTGTCAGAGCGAATGCTTCTTGTTTCTTTGTCTCCTTAGCTTAGACACTTCCCGTTTTGGTGATTTTCTCGCTGCACACTACCAGTGATTCCTGTTGATTCTTCATCCTAACTATGAGATTTCGCACTTTAGTAGAGCTAGCAGGTATTTCACTGCTACTTCTAGCAGTTATCACTGGTTGCAAATCGAGTTATAACCTCGACAATTGTATGCAGTATAGAATTGAACACTCAGAAACTAGCTTACGTTGATCTACTTAGTAAGAATGTGAAAGAAACTGACCGCTCCAATTCTGCTTGTTGTTTGGTCTTTCAGCTCGTTGGGGCGGTTTGCTTGACCACGTCTACCGATCCGATAACCGTAAGCCCTGGTTGAGATTGCAGGCTGAGATACGTGGGGATTAATGTCAGCGAACAGCCGTCACATTAAAACATGTTTACACACTTCCTGTCTCTGTTAGATTCGATTGCCACTCCTCATTTGTGTAGGTTAATCATGACATATTTCCTTTCTGTAATTTCATCCAGCGTTCGTGTGAAGTGTCATTGGTTTTTTACTCTTGTTTACCCTTTGGCTGCATCGTTGTTTCCTTAATCTCATTTGATTCCATTTGTGTAATGCAGGTGAAAGCAGCCTTGACTCGGACGTTCAACAGATCATCGCATTTACTTCCCTATGCTACGACGATTGAGCCGAAATCCCGCGGTAATCGTGGCCCAACCAACATTTCGGATGTCATCACCGAGTATGACGATTTGAATTCACTCGATGCATCAGAAGCCGTTTCTGTCACTGATGACGTTGAAGACCTGGATGATCTCGAAAAGGATGGCATGATTGTACGAAATGTACGTCTGTGCATTCGTTTACTTTGTTCGTTCCATACTGAGGTTTTATGGTGCATTCATTATACTCTGTACTGTGTTGTGAGAGCAAGCAAAATTCAAATCTCTGGAAATCCATCGCACTGCAATCAAAAATGTTATAAAAGTATCTGCCACGTGTGATACTTTAAGCGTTCAAGTTCTTATGCAGCAGTTTCACTAGGCTCACATGTGTAAGATGTCATTGCTACTATGCATTGGTCCTCCGAATCGAATAGTGGGGAAATTGAAACCCAACAAGGTTGTGAACTGCTGCCCATATTCGGCATTCACGATTTGTTCTGGCAGACCCTTCCATACAGAGGGGGTACAAAACTCGCTTTAAATTCGGTACTGCAGACTTGCACCGATGTCCGCGTGCGGTGCATGGCATTCGCAAGTGAAGCAGCGGCCTCAACACGGGAAGTCACCGAGATGCAATATGCTGTAGGTCATGATGAGATAAACTTGCACCCGACGACAGGACAAGCTGTGGAGTCATGGTTTCTCACACGGGTCTTCGTACGGTAATACCCCCAAACCAGGTACGAGTCTGGTAGCGACCTGTTGAATCCCTTCGATCTGCTGTGCTTCGCTTCGGGGAATTGGGCAGTAGGCGGGCGATAAGTTCTACGATGAAATAGCAAAGGCGATTGGTGACCTCTTCAAACCAATTAGAGAAGCTGCGTTTGATCGCCTATAGCATACGCAGTCCGTTACAGTATAGTTACTTCGTGTTGTCAACTGACCATAAATCACAGCGCGGGAGTACTACTAGGTTCTTCACTGAAGGCATGGAATGTAGCAGTTGGGCGTCAATGGTGCACGTTCGGCGTTCACCACCCTTCCCCAGGGTCATGAATACCGACTTAGTTGGGATGCTTAGGAGACGAACCTGTGCGGACCAGATGCAGACACGACTGCTGTTTTGTTGAAGTATTCTGCAGCCGTCTGGGAGCTAGTAACTCTCCAACTCTTCAAATCATCAGCAAACAGTGCATACAGCGACCACAGAACCTAAGGTAGATCGTTGATGCGGATTAGTAACGGCATGGGTCCCCAACACCGTGCGTCTGGGTATTTCACTGGTAGAGGGATACCAGTCATTGAGATAGCCGTCGACATGTAATTACCACTTTCGCCCAACGAGAAAGTCCTGGATCAACGGTGCAGTAATCCACCCACACCGCGCACTTTCAGCTTGTAGAGGAGGACCCCATAATTTACGTAATCGAACGCTTTACTAAATAAAAAGATTACTTTGACAGCCTTCTCCTGAAGCACCACCTGCAACCATTCATACCTCGTCGCCAGCAGGTTGGTAATGCATGAACGGCCTAGCATAAAACCGTGCTGTGCGGCCATCAGTGGATCTCAGTAACCTTGGCCAAAATAAGTATCAGAAGAATTGGTCTGTAGTTGCCCACTGTACCGAGGTCACCGACTTTCGGAATCGAAGTTACCATTGAGCATTTCCAGTCGGTTGGCAAAAAACATTTGGACAACGACGTGTTGAACAAGTCAGTCATAGCCGGTGATATGTTGATCGAGAGGAACTTGTGAATCAGTAGGTGAAGTCCGTCATGGACAACTGGTTTGCTACCTTCAAGGCTGGCGAGTAGTTGATGCACCTCTTCAACACCGCAAACCAGATTTTCGAGTTCGGTGAGCGCGGTACACATCGAACGCATTACAAATATCTGGTCATTTGGAAATACAAAAGCGAAGTGCACCGGCGATGCGGATGCACACCCAGTGCTGGAGGTTGGGTGCTGTCCGTCCGAGCCCTCTAGCACTGACAGATAACCTGCTGGCTTGGAACGCTGCGAATATTTTTTTAAAGACGGACTTTTGGCCATTGCGAGTTGCTCTGCCAAATGCTGGCGCGTGCTCTCTTTTGCATTGTTGTAATTATTTCCCTGCGTCTTATAAATAAATAAATGGTTGATTCGCAGCGGAACGATGCACACCAGTATAGGTATGATGAGCTGCATACAATAACACAATTGCAGCATAATAATAAAGGTGAATGCAACGTGGTCCTTGATAGTGCTGGAGAGGAGTGATTTTCCCCCCACTCTGCGCCTTCGCCTAGCCATTTTACCATAGTCCTTGTTGAAGCGTTGCGGCTTCAGTGATCCAACTTTTCGACACCACAGTGTCTTAAACCGAGAACGCAATACTGTCATCCCACTTTTATAACAGTCTAACAGTTTCCGCAGATGTAGCTGGAGGCAGAGACCAATTCACTTTGCTCGCGCCTCGAGTTAGACCGTCGGATTCAGTTTTCTAGTAGTTGTAGGCTTCCTCCAGTAGACGGGAAATATGGCAAAGTTAGAACTGTACTGGATACGAGCACTAGGTGTTCGGTTGCTGCTAGGGCCTTTAGAATCTGAACCTTATACATATGTTGGTTACAAGTTGTTAGCATCCAGCTAAGCACGGTGGATCTCAGCGCGGCGTTATACCTGTTGGCTGGTATATGTGCTACTTTGCTCCACTTTCAACTGCCAAGTCCACTAACTTTGCTTGGACTTCACAATGTCCGGACATGAGTTGGACTTCAGGACAGCGTACTCGAGGTCGTTTGAAATCACCCATGTATAAATCGGGGACGGCACATACGGCTTCGGAGATGCGGCAGCCAATCAAAAGAACGCCTGAGGAAACTGCTATAAAGTACATCCAACAGCAGCTCCCTTTGCCTTAGTTGGATGTAGAACAACTGCTGCTCACACAGGTCACCTTTACTTCTGTAGACGCTCACAACTCTTCCATACAGAGAAGACCAGATGTGAAGCAATACTCCACCGCGGGCTGTCGAATATGTCGCAGCGAAAATATGCGTGGTCACTGAGCTCTATTTCTTGGGCACTTGTCCTAAAGTTTAGCCACATCTCTGCGGGTTCCCACTATGTCTACCGCTCATAGGCGACGAAACGATAGAGTTCATCGCGCTTGTTCATGTGACTGCAAATGTTGTTAAAGGCTGCACGCAGTCCGCATCAAGTACCGCCGGGAGTGTTTGAAGCATGAACAACCTATCTACCCTGTTTCGTGGAACCTGGGAAATAAATCAAATTCTTTTAGTACGTAGATTTGTTTCTTCATCATCATCTCGTCTCTTCAGCTCACTCATGGGATCAACACGTGCTGATCGGGCACTCGATTGGCTGATAGATTGCCGCTGAGTATGCCCCTGACTATCCCACCTCTGAAACTAATTCGAACCCAACTGAGACTCCTTGCACGCTTATATATATGTATATATATATATATGTATATGTGTATATATATATATATATATATATATATATATATATATATATAATCTGTGGTACAGATATTGTGCCATCGGAATCATGGCTGAATAGGAAAACAATATGAATAATAAGAAAAGAGCAACAACAAAAGCTTTTTTGTCTATTTTACCACTCACAGTTTTTGAAATTTTTTCAGTTTTTCCTTTTTAGGGGGAGGAAAAGGGACACCGCAACAAACCGATGCATACGTTCGCAATTGACATCGGTCTTGAGCCATGACTTCCAAGGTCTTCAACCAGCAAGTATCCGCATCTCTCGGACCCCAACCAGGTAGTCGACAACAACCAGCCGAGGCCAACTATTTCGTCAGCTTTTTCATGCGGCTTCTCCATGTTGTAGGCTATCCACCAGACCGTCTTGTCCAGCCATGTCCAGCAAGTGCAAACAACGCACGACGGGGGTAACGCTGGACAGGCATGCGCAATACGTGTCCCAACCACCGCAGTTGATGCAGTGAGACGAGCTCCTCGAGCGAGTGGCTTCCACGTCCCAATACACGCTGTCTAACTTCCACATTGCTTACGTGGTGCTGCCACCACACACGGGCAGTGGACCGCAGACAGCGGTGCTCGAAGATGGATAGCCTGCGCAAGTCATGTTTACGAATGGGCCAGGTCTCGCATCCGTACAACAGTACAGCACGAACAGTTGCACAATAGACCTGCCCTTTGATGGAGAGACGAATGTCGTGGCGTCGCCACAAATGCCTCAGCCTAGAAAAAGCGGGGTGTGCTCTCGTGATGCGCATCGAAATCTCGTCTCCAACAGCGCCGTCAGCAGTGATGCGACTTCCCAAGTAGACAAAGCTCTCCACAACCTCTAGTGTCTCACCAGCAAGCGTGAGTGCAGGCAGAGGCACCTGCCAGTCTTGGAAGAGAGCCTTGCATTTGGATGGCGAAAAGTACATACCGTACTTTGATGCTTCAATCGCCAAGCGGTTTAATGCAAGTTGGATGACGTGTGGATCGTCACCCAGCAAGACGATATCATCAGCATAATCCAAATCAACAACTCGACTACCTGGGAGGAGCTCAACGCCAGCGTTCAACGAATCGCCTAGAGCGTTCTTCAAGACATCCTCAATGGCAAAGTTGAATAGGAACGGAGAGATAGGGCATCCTTGTCGAACTCCACTGGAGACAACAAAGGTAGGCGAAAGCTTGCCATAAGCCCTAACCCTGCCCGAGGTCAGACTATATAGAGCGCGCAGTATGGAGACGAACTTCTCGGGGACACCATTCCTCAGTAGGCAGTGCCACAGTACTGTACGATCGACAGAATCGAAGGCTGCACGGATATCCAGGAACAGAGCAATCGTTGGCCTCTGATACACATGGCGGAGCTCGAGGATCTGGCGAAGTGTGAAGATTTGATCGATGCAGCCGCGACCAGGGCGAAACCCAGCTTGTTCTTCTCGTTGCAATGATTCGCGTGTTGGGGATAGCCTGCGAAGTATGATGGACACCAGCAGCTTGCAAACGACGGGGACTAAGCTTATTCCTCTGTAGTTGGAGCAGATTGTGCGCAGGCCCTTTTTGAAGATGTGGACGACTATCGATTCACCCCAAGATGACGGAACTTTCTCTTTCGACCAAATTTTCGAGAACAAAGCGGTGAGTTCTCGAACCAGCGATGCGCCACCATCTTTAAATAGAGCCGGAG